TGAGAAAAATCCATCCAGTCCTATATAGATACAGATTTAAGGGGGCAGTGTGTTATATTCAAGAGATGTTTGTTTTTAATGACATTATCAGTGGGGCAGTTTCCAAGGGGTGTTAAAATTGTTTGACAGAAAGTACAAGAGATGGACGGATACATCAGCTGGCCAATTATAGTAGTTTTTCTTGTACTGGCATCAGCTGATACATGCATGCCTTGAATGGTTAAGGGCATCTAGGCTGTTTGGTTAAAAAAACAAAGAAGATGTAAGATGTAATATTTTTGTGACAGTTGATAACTTGCCCTGCTCCACAGCCTTACATCCTGACACATGTAATGTTTGAAAAATGCAAAATGCATAGATGGTGCTCGGTGGACCAGGAGATGAGGGCTAGGTGGGGTCTGGTAAGATGAAAATCGATAGATGGCAGAGATTGCGAGGCTTGTACAATACTGATGCACTTTAATATCGTACTGCCGTAAAAGCTGCTCGCATCAGCTTTTCTGGATGATGTCACAGAATCTTTCTAGCACCAATACTGTTTCAATATCAGTGGTGGTATGCTTGTTAAATATTAGGAAGATCACGTCTCGAAAGATAATGTCTGGGATATGTAGATAGAATTGTAAGACATACGTGACGTTTACGTATTGTTTACTAGCAATAAAAGAAATTTTGGGGTGAGTTTCCCTTTAACTTTTATTATACCGGTAGTCTGATGTTATGCTAAAGCTGAATAATTTTAATTGAGTATATGGTACAAAATATGGGTTGAGTAGTCTACTTGGGCACTCTCCCTACATAGATTTAAATCATATAGAAAAACTAGCGCAATATAATTCCCTCTGCATGCTCTAACTTTGTCAATAAATGTACTGAAATTAAAGTAGATTTTTGTTATTATGTTAAATCTCTGGTTTAAGATTGTGAATAAAGCTGAATATGTTCAGCGCTGCATTTGGAGGTGGGTAAAAAATTCCCAGTTTACTCTAATGAAGTCAGCATTTGGGTCAAGAGAGCTCTGCCTGTATAGAAATAACCGTGAATAATTGGGGTTCTGCTCCACTCTATGGTTTCGGAGCCCAGACATATTTACATATAAACTTAATTCTCTTGGCTTCATCCCACTTTGGTAGTTGTGATGGTTTAATATAACTGAACCAATATAATCCCTGAGATGAGAACACAGCAGTTAGATGTACTGAGCTGTGACAGACCGTGCACTCTTCATGTTTTGGAGAAAACTCATTTATCTAGCTGCAGTTGACATGCTAACACGAAAAGCTAAGTTATAAATAATTTAATGTTAGTGTCACTGTCTAACAAAGGTTTAGCATCTTCTTTCTTTTCACAGGTTGATCTGGTAAACATTGGAGGGACCGACATTGTTGATGGAAACCACAAACTGACATTAGGTCTCATCTGGAGCATTATTCTTCACTGGCAGGTGAGAACTTTCCACAAAGGCTGCAAATGTACACAGAGTCTCATTAGTGTTTGCTTAAATAACTCACTGTCCTCTGATGTTCCAGAGGGATCAGAGAAAACGATGATGGAAACTCTGAAATTAAAGCGCATACATGCGTTCATCCATGTTAACATGCTAATCATCCACTGCTTTGTCAGTTTCATTTGCTGAAAATAAGAACAGCTGCTTCCTGTCCGATGCGGTTTTCTATCGCTTTATTATTGTCTAATTGATTTGAATGAAGGTTTGTTATTGTGCATCTTATTCTTGTTCAATTATGTTTATAATACTTAAGACGGACGCTTTGGAAAGACTAAAAAGTGTCAACCAAGTACTTAGATACTTAAAATATATTTTTTTAGTATCTGAAATTAAATGAGACGAAACATTTTTACAGTTTTGGTCAGTAGGACATGAAAATATTACTGTACCTTTAGATAGTTTGAGGTTTAAATTATTTAAAGATGTGTAGTTTTGCACCTCAAAATTGGGGGGCGGTTATAATTGGAGACAAAAAGTATGATTAAGAGAAAAGTTTATAAATCTGTGAATAAAATCACAACGGTGACGCACAGCGGTAGCAGCCTTATTGTTGTATCATGATTTTGCTGCTGGAGATATCAAAAAAATGTGAAGTAATCATATTAAACCAATTTGAAAATATGATCAAGGAAATTAAATTTTGAGAATAAATTTGTCACAAAGAAGATGGTGGAGAGAAATGAGCTAAAACGAGTGGAATCAAGCTAGCCACATCTGGCTCTACAATACCAGTTTGTAACAGTATCGGACAAAAATCCAGGGAACCATTCTGAGAACCTTGTTTCCAGCACTATAGAGTTATTATTCATAAGTTCATTATTTCTTTTTGCAGGTGAAAGACATCATGAAGGACATCATGTCCAACCTGCAGCAGACTAACAGCGAGAAGATCCTGCTGAGTTGGGTACGGCAATGCACACGCTCGTACCCGGAAGTCAACGTGCTGAATTTCACCACCAGCTGGTCTGACGGATTGGCCCTGAACGCAATCCTCCACCATTTCAGGTGAGCCCTCCTGGAATTAGCATGATATTGATGTCATGTGCACCGACATTAGAAATGAATTCAACAGATGGTTTGCAGCCTTTTTTTTTTACTGAGAGGCTGAGGGGATGTAGGGTGACAGGTCAGCATCTGTAGTGGGTTTGTGTGTGTGTGTGTGTGTGTGTGTGTGTACTGCATGGCTTGTTCTGTTTAGGCTCTGCTGTGTCACTGTTTACTTACGCTGTGTTAGCTGTTGCATGTGAAAGACAGAAGGGGGGGTTGGGGGTATTTTCCCCCTTTATGTAATCCCTTGTCCTTAGTAATGGTGACACGCTCTGGCCTGTGAGCTGTGAGAACCTCCAGTGTTGGTTTAGAACTGGGCCTAGGCTTTAGTTGGATCACTGAACACGCATTCCACACCCTCGCCCCCTCACATTCAACCACTGCCCAGAAAATCATTATTTTTATACCGTTTGTAAAGTGTTGAAATATTTATGATTAAACCCATTTTCAGAGTCTGTGTTTATGGCTTTCTCTCCCTCTTTAACTGTATTTCCGTCTCTCTATCTCTGAAGGCCAGGTGCGTTTAGCTGGGATCAGGTGGTCAAAATGAGCCCTGTGGAGAGACTCGACCATGCTTTCACCTTTGCCAAAAACCAGCTAGCTATAGAGAGACTCCTGGACCCTGAAGGTAACGCTTTCTATACATTTTCTACAGTAGTAGCTAAATAGTGTCCCATTGCAGGTGCCTGGTAACCAAAGAATAGGCCTTTTATTGGGATTTTAACTTAAGGTAGAGTAGTAGTAGTGTTTGTGCAATTAAAGCAAAAAGGATTTATAGAAATGGGTCATGCAGATTACTGCAAAGTCAACAGATTGATAAAGGGAGTCAATCTGTAGGTAATCTTAATCTCTTTTATCTGAAGTTATCTTATGAAGGCCTCCACGGTTGGAATAAAGGCAAAAGAAAACCAATGATGACAAACAAGATCAACATTGTATCTTGAAAGTTAGATGGAAAAAGCTACATGTTGAAAAACTTAACTTTGTATATATTGAACTAATCATACCAGCCACACTGGAACACAACGGTGGCAGCATTATGCTGTGGGGTGGTTTTCTTTAGTAGTTTAGAATTGAAACTTCACAGTTAAATATTTTTATCTATCATGGAAAATACGAATACTTTTGCAAGCTCTGTAGAGTTAAGACTTCCATGCGCTGTTGATCTCAAGTATTTCCTATAAGAGCATAGTCTGTTATAATAAATTCTACTTTTAAGTCTTGCCAGCTACTGAATTAACAGTGGATTAATTTCATTGAAGTTGTCTCAGATCATCTCTCATCTCATTTTCGTATAGATATCCTGAGCTGTTTTCCAGCTGACCCATATCAAAGTCTTTTTTTAAGTGGTTTAACTTGTTTCAACCTGCTTTTTATCTCACTCTCACCTTCCTTTTCATTTAATCTTCTCTTGTTACCTTTACCTGCTGTCCCTGTCCACTCATGCTTTGGTTCCTTTCATGCAATTTTCCCCTTTTTATCCCCTCTTTCTTACCTCCTGCCTCCCGTACCGTATCTTGATCTCTCTGCTTCTCCATCTGTGTGCTTTCTTCCGACTCGCTATCCTTTACACCTCAGATGTGGCGGTGCAGTTACCAGATAAGAAGTCCATAATCATGTACGTTACTTCGCTGTTCGCCGTGCTACCCAAGGATGTGAGCATGGAGGCTATCAGAGAGGTAGAGACACTGCCTCGCAAATACAAAGTAGGAGCTGAAGGGTCGAGTCCAGGAGTCAGTATGCAGGTAAAGTATAAATGTTTTATCTCAGTTTTTCCAGCCGTATGTTTTAATCTGGGTTCTAATCCAACAAAGTTCTATTAATAACCTGCAGTAATTGCATCCCTCTATACTTTGTTTTACTATTTTGTCAGCATCAGTAACATCCCAGTTATGTTTCAGTTGTTAACTTTGATATTCAATCTATGTTTGCAAGGTAAATGTTCTGAGTATGCATTAGGTTTTTATAAGCATCAAGGTATACTGAGGATTTAAAAGGTTATTTGCTATTCTGTCATGATATTTCCTTTAGTTTACAGTAAAACATTTTTACTGTGATGCTGTGAGCCATAAAGTAACATAACACCACCCTTCTTTCCAAGCAGTTTGCCAGCAGCCTGAAAGAAGGCCACTATACTTTTCCACCCATAAAAAAAAAAAAATCTAATTTAAGAGGAAAAGGGTAATGGAAAGGAAACTTAAGGAGTGCTACTGCTCACTTGTATTAAGGTAAAGCTTTTATAGAACTACAATTTCTGAGCTGTGAGCTACATGTCTGTTAAGCAAACAACTACAGCCTTTACTGGAGAAGACAAATACTTCAAATGGTTCT